ATTGCTAATATTTATTTTAATAATTCTGCATTCATATAGGTATGTGTTTCTATTTAATTGTTTTGCATTTATATTGTTTTGACAATGATAATTAATATTTATTGTGATGACAGAACCTTAACTCTATGTCTCTCATAGTTGGCCGTAAGTTCATGCTGTTACTTTTTCTGAATGTGAGGGTGTTTTGTAGCTTCAAATTCGACAAAGCCACCTTAACAGAAATAAGCCTCATCACCAAATTTTTTTTTGTTCCAGAACCGGGATCGTCATTCAACTGTTCTAGAGCAAAGCCTATCACCGATTAGGATTTGCTTCCTAAGTCAATTACATCTTATGTGATGCCAGGTTGACATTCGCAAAACTCCTAGTTCTTGAGCACGTGGACCCTCATTTATACGTTTCCAGATTGCATCAATCATACAGGACAAATTAGAAGCGCCAAACGCTTTCCGAACGAAGCATTCGTTTTGGTAATAAATTTTGATGATTTCGACACGTTATTGATTTGTTTACTGCTCCATAACAAATGTCAGGTCTAACTGAATACTCCTGCTAAAAATAACACTTGTGTGACTTCCGACCTATAATGCACTATTACCAAAAAGATCAAGGTTTCTCATTCGAAAACACTTAGCTGGATCTGAAAAATCCGGTTAATTATTAATATTATACCGGCACAATCCTGGAAAAACGTCTTAACTTCTCTAGACAACAGACTTCTTATATTAGATCTTCTTCGGGACGCGGGGTATTAAGTAGCCCCATGAGAACAAATCTCACAAGGGTGTACCCGCGCAATCTGGGTCTAGGCTACTAAATTCCAAAACTTAAAACCCCTGTAGCGCAAATAAATAAAATCCTCACAGGCCAAATTAAATGTTACGAATATTTATAGGAGATTCGAAAAGGACTTCGTACGCGAAAGAGAAGACAATGAAACCGGTTCTATTTTATGAGAGAGGTTGTGAACTTGGTGTGATTTTAATGATAACAATACTTTATGGCATGTGTATAAAAAAATTCGTCTTCGAAATGTGAGTCGACAGGAAATTCCACAATCCTATTACTCCTACTACACTTTTTTGAAACAATCCAAATCTGTCGATTTATTTGTACATTCAATAACGTAATAAACATTTGATTCAGGAATAACTGCAGTGCATATTTTTTAAAGTATTTTGCGGAAAATAAATATCGAACCGTATTTGCCAATGCCACCGCAAGCAAAAGCCCTAATTAATTTTCTGGCGTTAGGTAGCGTAAAAATTGAATAAAAATCTATCTTCAAATTATAGATAAAAGTAATAAAAATGCAGTGCTTGCTAATTCATCTCCCTTTATTTCAAATTTAATAAAGATACATAAAAAAATTAAAACAAAACAAATAGCGAATTAAATATATAAATGCCCTATGCTGCAATGAAGTGCGCATGTCGAATTTAGTCAGGTCTCATAATTTCAAAATTTTGTTTCTATTTATTATTGAGCTACGGCAACACCACTCTTTCAGTAAAAAGTACTGTAACGGTTAGAGATCGCCAAAACTGCCCAAGCTGAAACGATGAAATTCACAAACATATAAAAACAACCAATATAAAATAAAATGATGAAACGGACATTTTATTGCAAATTGAAAAAATATTAAAAATAAAAATATTTTAAAAAAGTAAATGTAGTTTGGCCATTTTTTTCGGCGTCAATCGCTAATTTCACTACCCATAGTGCCGTTTTCAGGTTTTTTTCAATCGCGAATGTGATTACTCATAGTGATTATGTCTTCTTTCTACCTACTATCCCAGCTGCCAGAAATAATGACAGAAAACGTGTACCATTAAGTTGTAGCTCAAATACATTATAAATTATACCCACGATTAACATTTTATTATTCCTTACACTCCTTACTGTTTTCCCAATGGTTAAAACATAAAATATTGCAAAAGTTAAAAAATTGAAATAAATAAAAGTGCTTTAAGTTCCGCTTAGTATAACTGAGTAATTTGCTGCTTTCAAATAAATTCCTGTTAATACCTGTTCATCGTAAATTACAAAATCTAAGAAAATAGAAGCGATAAAACATTAGAATTGGTTTCATTATTTTTTAATACATTTTTTTTTGTTTTTTGTTCAAATGTTTTTCTTACATTTTTGAGTTCTATAGATTACAAAAAAAATAATAAAAATAGAACCGAAAAATAAGGCCCTACTCAGATGACCTATTTCCGTTATGTTTTTATATCTATATTACGATTTCAAATTAATAGAATAGCGATTTTTTAATTCTTTCTGTAAATTCTCAATGTCCATCTCCATCAACGTTACAGAGACAGGCTGACGGTTTTCCTATATAAGCCATTTCACATTTCATGACGCTAGTCTTCGTAATAGGATTTTCATGGGATGATGTCGAGATTAAATATCCGGGATATTTGCTCGTAAAGTAAAACGTTTGCTACGAGTTCTAATTTATTTTTTCGCAAGTCGGCACTCTGGGTGAGTGATCTTTTTAATTTAAACAAAATACAGAAATGCTTATCCATAATGATGGTCGCCTCTATGAATAAAACTAGGCACATGCCAAAGCACTCGCGGAAAAATGGGAACCGATATTTTTATTGGGTACCAAAATATAACAATTTTGAAACCATTAAACTAAATACCACAAACTTTTAATAATTGTTTAATACTTACTTATGATCTATATTTTATTTTCGGTACGTAGCCTACCAAAAAATTACCGTTACCAAAAAATATTTTTAAGCGTTAAGGTGCTCATGTATAACTAGATGGTAACTATAACTACCATTACTGCAAAAAACCTGATTCTCGGCACACTCATCCAAATGTTGAAATGCTCGGTCACAATCTGTTTCATCCTTTTCGTGGATTTTTATATTTCCACATTTATTGAAATTGTTACCTAGAATTATCTAAAAAATTTAGCTAGATTTCTGACCAGTTATCACAAATATTTTATCTTGACCTTGTTCGTCAAATACGTTTTGTGTAATCAGTAATGAAGGGTTCGATTCTTAAACAGAATAACCCAAAAGTTATAATAATTAACAGTAAAGTTAAATATATTTATTTTAATCACCCCTACCATAAAAGGATGTTGTTTGAATAAATGAGAGGATAGAAACGAGAACAGAGCTGTCACCAATATTAAAATATACAGATCAAACAAACAAACAGAACGTAAATTTTTTTTTCGTTGACTTTTTCATGTTTTGGGGTTATAAAGGTCGTTAAATTATAAAATCCTGTTCATAATTTATGTTTGTTACCTTTTTATAGAGAAATTTTCACACATTTCCATAAGCTTGCTTTGGGTGACACGCTTACCTCTGTAAAAATATGCTGAATGTACCATCATAAAATTTATATAGAGTAACTTTTGCAGTTATGGTTAATACTAGTTCTAGATTAAATTGAAATTGGTTTCATAGATGGTTGGCAGGTTTTACTTATTTTCCTTTTCAATTGATTTTAGTTTTGGTTAGTTTCATGTCTGTAAAATCTGCCTATAAAGTATCGTTAGATTTTCTGCTTTTCCGCACTCTAGGAAGTTCTGCAAAGAAGAACAAATATACTCTCAGCTAGGACCGACTGGTTCATATAGGTACGGTCAAATGAAAGGCATCTTTTCTCCTAGTCTCAGAACCATTATCAATAATTTTAGTGTTTAGTGTCAGTTTCAAATATTTTTTACGAACAAACTAGTTACCACATTACTAATGACTTTGGCGACATATACCTACACAATATTGGAGCATCTTTTCAGGCAGGGCGATTTTATTTTGAGATCAAAACTTATTTGCGTCTAGCTGTTCTGTTCTGTGTGTTATTATTTGTGACCTGTGAAAATAATTGTTGTTGTTTTAACCTGCTCCAAAAGTGTTTAAAAAGTTCCACGTATCGCACCTATTCATTGATTTATATTCGCCATCCATAAAACCAAGTAAGTCAGTAAGTAAGTAAGTCGGTTTTGAAATAAAATCCTAAATAAAAAAATATTTTGTCACTAGCATGATCAAATATTTACAATGACAATGATGAGAATGGGTAAGAGTGGTTCAGTTCAGTCTGGTCGAGTTCGATATCATGGGTCCAAGCAGATCAGTTTAGTTGGGAACACTTATCGTATTAATCTAGCCTAGCCTTTACAAGCCTAATCCACTCTGATCTGATCTTATTCCACACAAAGGTTTTGGCCACCTAGCGCCTAGGCATGCATTAAACGTGCAGGTAAAGTTTACATTAGGAAATTATTCGAGAAGGTGTTCATTTCATCTAGGAACTTTATTTGCTAATCCGTTTTTCAGTAATGAATTTTAGCAAAACTCGTATCACATGGCTTCTCTCAGAGTTATTTGGTGAAGTTATGATCAGTTACAACTTAGTCAAAGGGTTTTTCATTCGATGTTATTGTTGTCAGTAGATGAACTCATGTACCTTTTAATCTAGCGAAAGTGAAAAACAAACAGCCAACTTTGCATTTTCCTGCAAAAGCAAACACCATGGCTTCAATAGTCTAGAGATTGAAAGAATTTTAGCAAAGCTATACGTTCAAAATTTGAAAATTAAAAATCACCCTGCTAAAGAGCGGTGACTCGTTTGGATGCCAAAACCCTAAAGCAAGAATGAGATCTTAATGCGCCGAATCTACCACAAAAGACATACTTCCACGGGAATAATTTATCTCACCGTGTCAATTTCTTGCGCACTTTTCGCGCTGCCGGAATACTTTCTAACCCATTGCGCTTTAATCGAATTTTTGGCATATGATCTCATCGCACCACCCATCAAGGACCATCATTTCTTCAGAAAATCGCTGCCGGTAGCAATATTTAAGAAATGGACCCTTCCAACATCCAAAGAGTGCATGTTTAGAAAGTTTTTCAACTTAACCTTATATCACTGGCGGCCGGACATCCCTGAGCAGCACGAAACTTTTAATCTAGAGTAACCTCCAAATTATTTCTACCGAATTTTCAACTTACCAGTTAATTTTTCGACCCAATCGTTTAACTCTGCCCAAAAACTGATTACTTAGCTGAGCCCCATAGAAAAGTGGAAGTTCAAATCAACACCGCTGTCCCCACTTCTGATTGGTAGCGGGAAAGAGGCACTTTTCGCGTTCCGGACGTCCAAACCGTGACTGCCGCATAGCCCGGGCTGGACCAGGACGCTGAGAACTCCAACATCCCTTATTCCCAACGCATGCGGTCTCTATCGATCGATATCGTCGCCGTAGCTCTCCGCGCGAACGACTTCTCCAATTCTGGACAGTGACGGACTAAAAGAGATGCAGCTGACGCCGTCTTCAAAAGGAACCCTTGCCTGGGAGCTTAAAGCTAGGTAGAATAGTCCACATGTTTTAGGCTGCGAGGTGGCCTAGATATTAAGTTTCCATAGCTCTCATATATTCCAATACTAAAAAAATTGATATTTTTTATAAATTTCACAGAAATGGTTTTGAAAATAAGAAGAAGGAATGACTTTTTAAATAAAAATCTAACTGTCTAGAGGATTAGAATAAAATAGTAATTCCTGGGAATTGTTCGGAATTCCTTGTTTTTTTAAAAACGCATTACGTTCAAGTTTCAATATTTAAACCAATTAATAATTATATTACACTAATGAGAAACAAGAAATACATAAATGTGCTGTAGTTCCATTTCTTGCCATTAAACATAAAACAGAAATGAACAAAATCAACTTTTGTTTATTTACCTACAATTAAAATGGGTTAGTACCAATGCAAACAATGATGTGTAAATAGTAAAATTCGTATACTTCTATACAGGGTGTCCACTATGATGTACATAGGGATATTCAAAACTGTAAGAGATACAACGTCTCTTAAATTAAAGAAAAATAGAGTATGCCAAAAAATAATCAAGCTTCTAACACTATCGCCATCCAGAAGTCTCTGGCAAGGCCGTTCACGATAAGGATGACCCTTTCAAATACTATTCGCTGTTAAACGAGCAACACCTGTTGCAAAGATGTCTCTCAACCACACTTTGCAAGAGCAAATTTTCTTTATTTTCATCTGGAGGTTGCTTCCTTTTTCCCTTAGCAAAATTCCCGTAGGTGACAAGGTTGTTTTTCAGACGCCTAAACATAGCTCTACCCGATTGACATCTTTCCGGATATTAACTTCACCTGGAATCTCCTGGGACACGCAGCAATATCAAGGCCTTAAATAATATTTTTGTTATTTTTCCGGATTTATCTTATCAAATAAAAATGTTTGAAAAGCATTTTTAAAGAGCATTTTGAAAATATGGAAGTTTAATATAGCGCCTATAAAAAAAAAGTTGACTCCGGTCGTACGCAACATAGTGGGCCTATTTTTTTACGCCTTTTTTAGCATCTCTTTACCCATATCCTGAAAATCTGAACATTAAGGAAATATGGTGGTTTTTCAAAAATTTACATTTTCCATTTTACAACAATAGAACAAAAGATCTCGTGTAGAATACTTCATTACGAAACCACATATAGATAAATTTAGTAAATAGTTTTATTTAGTTTTTGTAGTTTTAGAAATTCAACTATAAACAACTAACACCTCTCGATTATCTGAAATTCCGCCGAGATCACATTAAATTTTTAGCGAAAAAAAAAAGGTTAGTATGTGAAATTTAGTGAAGATTATTCTTTTTTATTTCTGATGTGTTTGCATTACCTAATATGAGTTGCCCTATAGCCTAAATTTGTCATATGCGAAGTTGCTTTGATAATAGGTAAAGAAGCGTTGCGCCCTACTCCATGTGACAGAGATGTTCATCAAATACCATATCGGAAATATTAATATTTTCACTAGCAAATGTATTGTCAGCGACAATACCTAATTATGAAATAAAAAGTTACTCTCTTTGAAAATCTTCTTTCACAAAGTGTCTTTCTTGTCGAAAATACGATGTGACACTCCAGGAATGTATGCTTTTCACCAAAAATAATCACTTTGAAACTTATATGCCGTTGGATCATCTGAAGTTCGTGTGACCCCGAAACAAACACGTGCAGGAAATAAGGTAAATATAGCCTGTGAAAAAACCCATTCGCTATAAGAAAAAGAGTCTGCAGGCTTTTATCTGTATAAAAGGGCTATAATTTTCTCCGTTAAAACCCCCATTAAAATTTCTTTTTAATATTTCTAATTGAGGCTCTACTGTGGTCTTTCACGTTTTTAATCAGCTGTAAATATTTATAGAAGGTTTTATATTTTCTTCGCCTGTTTTTTTTTACACAAGAGGATGAAAAAGGATTTTCAGAATAGAACGAAAGTGTATATATAATCTGCATTCAACATACTGAATACCGTCTTTGAAGATTTAGCTTGCATTTTGCAAGAGTTCTGTAATTTCAGTCCCTTTTGCCTGTGCGATTTTTGACGAAAATTTCGGTTTAATTTAACTAATTTAATTAATTTGTTACTAGATATGGAGAAATTTTCTGTCGTCAATACGAAACATCGTGTCATATCGATTAGTGCATAACGTTATAAAATACTGGAAAAGTCGGATGGCATAAAATTCGTATCCTTTATAGGAACTCTCAATGTGCAGTTGCTATATCCGAGATACTCCACAAAGTTTTCTCGCATTTCTTATTAAAAAAAATCGATTTACAAAAAAAAGTTAAGTACCTATAAAGTAAATTTTATAGTTCTTTTTCATGAATTTTCAAAAATTGAATCTATCTTTTAATTTTATGTTATATATATTATGTGTCTTTCCAATTGTTTACCTGAGCTACAAATTATAAATGTAATGTAAGAAATTAATGCGATTGGGCTATTTATTTCAACTGCTCCAAATTAAAGATTTTGAAACAAATCATATATAAAGAAGGGTTAAATTTCCCATAAAATTTCAACCATTTGTTATATGGTCGACAAAATTAAAATAAAATCGTAATTGCAATAAGAAATATATGCACTATAAAAATTTATCAAAATTCCGATTGTATTGTATTGTATTGTATTGTTTTTTTTTTACCAGTTACTATAGGTGATCAGGCGACAAATCTATGTGCAAAAAAACTCCTACGAAGAAAAGAAATTGCATTTATTTCTAAAATTTGTCTATAACGTGTCGTTCTTCTACTTTTCGATACCCTTCTCGCCCTTTCCGTTTGTCTCATATTGCAAACCGAAGGCTGCGAATGTAAGAAAACGACACATGTCAGGCATCGCCTGAAATATCTTTCTTCTTCCCCGAGGAAGTGCGTGTGCTTCTAAGTGATAAAGATATTTGTCCAAGTTTCTTCAATTTCAAGTTGCTTTTAATTTTCTGCCAAACGCTTCCCTTCCAAGCGAATATAAAAAATATGAAAATACCTGAAAACTGCCTTACAATAACAAACAACAGGATACATCGTTACGTACCCTGCATGCAATTGAAAATATCCCAAACCAATTCGACATACTTGGTAAAATTATTTTGGCTGAAATCATAAAACGAAGAAACCACTTCGAACAAATAGGACATTCCCATCACCACGGTCAGCTTTATAATTAAAGTAAACCTAAAAAACTTTACTGTAACTTCGATTGTCCAATATATTAAGTGAGTGTACTTTTGCTTATTCGCGAGAAACTTCTTTTTTTTCGAGCAGTGACTGTTGTTCATTTTGGCGATTTCTTTTTTAACGTCCATACAGCATTTAACTGTTTTTGCAAACAGCACCAAATTCACTAGGTTGATAAAGGTGATCGGTATCGTCCGAAACAATACTTCAGCATAGTTGCCTTCATCTGATTGGAAAACCAAACCTTTTCTTTTACCTCTTTTTTATTAACAAATATACTTACATCTTTCAATAAAGCATCTCGTTACACCCATTTTAATTTCAAGGCTGGAGGGCATTATTTTTAGGAAATAAAATACTAATGGTATAAGTGTCAGGAACAAGGACACCCCCCATCCATATAAGCAGTAACACATAAATCGCGTCGTGTCCTGTTTGGTTATGTTTTTATTTCTAATTTTTCCAGATCTGCAAATTAACACCTTGCAGTTCTAAGCAATGTAAGGGTTCCTATACCTCTTACCCAAATGTATAGTATATATCGAAACAGAGCAACTCTAACCATAGGAACGTACTGAATTCTCCGTATAGCAACAGAAATCCTGGAAATATATAGGCCCGAGTCACATTTCGTATCCAGTTTTTTACCGTAATTCGGTTTATTGCTTTTAGAGCGGCACAGGTCGTTAGAAGTCTTTCTTACATTTGATTTGATACAGAATAGATTACATTTTTTTTACATATTTATTTTGTTTGTTTGCTATAATGGGAGGCGTAATTCTCCATTAGTCGCAAGTCTTTTAAGAATTTCGCTTAATGACTTAAAAATTACCGCCAGGATAAAATTGTATACCTCATAAGGAACTTGCTCCATAAAACATTAGCTCAATATTGACAAAATAAAAAATATATTCTATTTAAAGTGACAGACAGTGGCAGAATTAAATAATTTATGTGTTCAATTCAAACCAATTTATTATTAAAACGACTTTTTCTTGTTCAAATTTATAATTACTTATTATTAATTGGATTATTTTTTTCTCAAAAATAGGTTATTTTATCAATATAAAACATTTTCTTCAATTACAGGCTCAAGCTACCCAAATATATTTGTTTAGGATCTTATCGTACAAGGTGTTAAAAAATTATGCTTTTTGTTAGTAATTTCGATATAATTCCTATAAATATGCGACGTTTATATTTGAAAAATATTTTAGCCAGTTTTTTAATATGACTTTAATTCTATTTTTGGATCAACTTGATTTAGTAGGACTTATTGACTTATTGACGTTACTAACAAAATTAGCTAAATTGGCTTTATAATTGAATAATAATTGAAATATTCTTGGCTTTGCAATTTCTCTGATTGACTATTATCATCAATCAACTTATCTTACCTGCTAATTGACAAAGTTGAAGTTCCGATTTGATTGCGTCCAATTGAAAAGTGCTCAAAATCAAAATACCCAAAGTACATCCAAGAGTTCCGCAAAAACTCACCAACGTCTTCCCGAACCTTTTTTTCGTTTGCTTTGTGATGAAATACAAAAAAATAGTCATCATTAGAAAAACGTCTGATACTATCATGACGTATCCGTTCACCACATACTTCGGTTCCAACATTTCGCACTTTTCCGGCAATATTCTATAAAAGAAAGGTCAGTAATAAAGTAGCTTTCTGCGGATAGTTTACAATTTTCTGCATACCTGAATAATTTGTACCCTAAATGGGACCCATGTTTCGTAGCATACTCTATACAGTAGGTTTCCTCGGTTGGGTAATAAACGGCATTGCCAAATTCTTCGTCATACAAAGTGAAAACTCCCTTGGTGTCCAGCTCGAATGACCAATCGGCTGGTTGTAGGTAGATGTTGCCACTGTATCCATGTACCACTATAAAGTCGCCTAAACATAATAAAACATAAAATTGCTGAATATTTTTTCACCTAAGTAATTAATATTAATGTTATACTTATGATATATATTATTATAATATTGCTTGCTCAAAAAATGTAAGTTATCATTCAATAAAGTCTTTAAAACACTCAATATGAATTAACTTTTTTTTTTAATGAAAATTGATTAACATGGATCACATCAAAAATGGCCACTCAAATTAAGAAAAACTGAATCTTTTAATTTCTGTGGTAAAAACAGAAGGGAGTAAAAAAACAATTTAGTGGTGGTATTTTATTTTATGTTTTACATGGATCTAGTGTGCGGGAAGCGTCACTTTACCACGTGAATTTCTTGTCTCAGTGATCCGAGCCACTTCGGACATTTCTGGGATATTATCCCACGGGTTGAATTTTGACGTTTGTCAATTCTGATAGGAATGTTAGAGAATGTATTCGTGTTGTTTTGCAAAAATGTACCCAAAAACTAACGGTCTTAGAAAAGGTATAGTCTCCAATAGGTTTTGTAAAGTTGTCACGGTCACGGGTTTATTGGCACGAGCGGAGCGAGTGTTTAATACGCGTGACCCGCTCTGGACAGAAAATTCCAATAACCTGCTATATCGTAAAGTTGAAAAAAGCAGTTATCACTTAATTCCTTACCGGTTGGCTCCTTAATAGAGTCGCTGAAGTTCAGATCGACGCCGTAAGTGTAAGTAAACGAACAATTTGAGCCGTTAACAAAGCTCTGATTGTCAGGGCAACATTTGTGGACACATCGTTTCGACTCGCACAATTTCAAGTCGTTCCAGCATATTCTTATCACCTTCTTGTTATTTAGAGTATCATCTATGCAGTAGTCTGTTGACAACACAAAATCGGCAGGAAAATCTTCTATTTTATAAGTGTAGTCAAGGATTACTAGGCATCTAAATAATCCTACCCGTAAAAACCTGCAAATTGCAAATTAAAACTCCCATATCCTTAATAGAATAACAATCAAATAATTCAACAAACCAAAATAGATGACTATTCGATAGTCGTCGAATTTAACGGGAAGATTCTAGCAATGATGACAGAATCCCATGGTAACGTTTATTTCTTATTATTGCAGATATTAGCTAATTTAATAACAATAAATTAGTATAAATTCTAATCAGGAAAATCAATTCCTGATAACATTTTTGTAACATACTATGACAGATTTCTAAATTTTAAAGCAAATATCTTACAATTGCAAATATCTACTAAATTTCATTAAATTACCTACGTACATTAATTTTTCAAAGAAACTTCCACAGGCTACTGCAATATTTTGGACAAAATTTCTGGATTCCTCCTGCGTCGGTTTTTGTTGAGTCAAACCTACTAACGTTTCCAATCATATCTTGCCTTCTGCGGAGCTAAACTGAAACTGACTCGCATTTTACTCGGTACCTGCTTATATATTGTTTGAGGGGGGCGAAGCTAAATGAAGAAGCCAACAAGATGATTGGCGAAACGTTAGTAAGTTTGACTCAACAAAGAGGAATCCGAAACTTTCATGAACAATGTTACCTTTGAACTTTGTTTCTTACAAACGAAAAAGTTGTTGGTCCAGGTTTATAAGAAACTCCATTTCTGACTTTAATACCTTCAGTAAAGTAGTACCTACAGTAAGTGTTGGAAGGAACCAACAAATTAAATGGAAGACAAATGAAAAACATTGTGACTGTTCCACACACAACTCCACAACACGGCACAACACAAGCGCCCATTCTCTCAATTTGATAAAGATGCTTTATAAATCGACCTCCCTATTTTTATACAAACGCTCGATACATTTCGATCATTATTGGTGGCATAACCGAACGTGGGTGGATCATACTGATCATACACGTGGCACTAAATGTGAAAATAGAATTTCCACATTTCCTCATTCCCCATATTCACACTCATTTTATATACATTTCATATCTTTTTTATGTTAGGCCTTTCAGTTACAGAATGTCGAAGATATTATTGACCATAAATGCAAAATAATTTGATTTGCAAAAGGCAGAAAACACTTTCAGGTTACATTTTTGTTCCATTTTCGTTTTGTATAGCTGGTACGGTAACTTTTACAATTCTTCTACATGTTTAATAACTTACAATCAAAGTAAAAAATATAAGTAAAAAACTATAATAACTTATATTACAGTTAGAGACATGAAGATGAAAGCTATGTAGACATATTTTATAAGCATATAATTACGGGATGATACGCAAATGAAAAAAAAAATACCCACTTACAACCATAGAATCAATTTTGCCTATTTATTTATTTATTGCCGTGAAAGTACATTTGAAATTTCATTAGAGAATGCAAATCTCTTTTATTCTGCATGTTCAACTTTTTCAATTCAAATTTCTTAGCTATTATCTGGACGTTGTAATTGTAAAAACCGTAATATTGGAAACTGAACTAATACTATACATTAATAGATTTCTAGCAAAGCAATAGAATAAAATGCGATGCCGTAGGTACCAATTAGACAAACAACTGTCTATTGCACAATTGCAGAATAGCCAACAGGAAAATGAGAAATAGTCGACAAAATTTGACCGAACGCTTTAGGTAATTCTTTATTATTGGTTAATAGTTATGTTTGGTTAGCCAATATAATTTAGTTTTGGTATTATCCAATTATAGAAAAAAATGAGTGACTATACTCATTGTTAGTACGTTCGAAATTTAGTGGAATTTGTAGCGGATAATGAAACTGATTTGTTTCTGACCAGGCAGCGAAAATTTTTGAGAAATAGTTTTTAGGTGGTTTTGATTTATAATATCCAAAATCCAACCTCCGGCCTCTGTGTATATGCAATATATCTTTATAGCGACTAGCAAAAATAAACGTTTGAAGAACGCGCGAATTTTTTTACATTAAGTAAGATTTTCGGAGGATTCATTGTTTGCTCAAGGTCAAATTTAGCTTACACCAATCAGTACTAAAAATACGACTATGAAATAGTAACCGGGTAAAGTGAATTAATTTATTTTAAGTATAGGAGTCTAGTTCGGAAGCAAATTTGTTTTCTATATGTTTTGAAATTATAATATATTTAAGAAAAAAACAATTTCACAAATTCCCACTTTGAAATGATACTAGTAGTACTATTAGTAATTGCCTTTAACAAACAAAAAGTTCCGATTTATCGTTTGAATTTTTTAGATTGATCTTTCATTTGTCTAAAAAAACATTTATTTCAGTTCGAATACCTGAAAGGGCGGCCATAATCGACAAACCAAAAAAATGAGAGAGCATCTGCCTTTTAGATTGGTCGAATCTTTGTTAAGTAAATATTTAACTTACATGTTGAATGTCCGCTATTGTATCTAAATTTGATACATCAAACAAAGTTCTATGGCCCCAATCGAAAGATTTGCAACTATATTATTGTATTGTATATTTAGTAAATTTCTGAAGATAACCATAACATTATAACAACGTATTTTACGCTATTTAATAGAAGGGGGCGATTGTTGAGTTCATTTTATAAAAAAAACTTACAGGGGTGGTAAAGTTTTTAAAAATAAAATATGTTTTTTTAATATCTGTAATATCACTATCGATATTTTAATGAAATTTGGCACACATGTACTATATATGATTTTTTTATTTTGATTCTTATTAAAAAAAAACTACCTACTATTAACATTTTTTAACAAAATTGTTAATAAATTAATAACAACCTTTTTGAAAAAAAGTAAGAAACTAAATAGGTTGTTGACCGATACACATTTTATAAAGATTTCACAAATACACCTCAGAGTTTATGTTCTTCGTATTCGTACTTCGATTTTTTGAAGTATATTAATAAAACAGATAGACAATTACTTAAATAAGAAATAATAATGACAATAATTCTCTGTGTGCTGTCATATTAACTATATTCTTATTACCATGCAGAGAAGATATTTAATTTTTTTTAAACGAAAGCCATTCAGCCGATTGAAAAAAAATAAGAAATTAAATTTCTGTAAAAATGATTGGAGATTGTAAGAACAATTTTAATTTTAAGAAAAAACAGTGGCGTACCATGAATGTCTGCCAAAATAGAGAGGTGAAATTCCCTACGCCCGCCTTTGGCTTATTTTTAAAAAATGTAAATGTAAATACATAGTACATGTGTGCCAAATTCCAATAAAATTGCTAAAATGGTATTGCAGATATTAAAATTATTTTTATTTTTGAAAACTTTACTACCCTGTATCTCAAAGGTTAAGAGGTTTAGGACATATGTTCATATGAAGTTTCCTTTTTAAAATGGACCCTCAAATAGCTCCCTTAATTATTGATATTCAATAAGAAAACACCCTGTATATTAGGGTCCGCCACTTTTTGGTTTTTGTAAGAGACAATGAATATACTGTTTTTGCTTTATTGAATGGGGAAGTAGTAACAAGGGACGGAAAATGGCAAAAATTTTCCTCCAAGATTAAGTCATTTTTCAAAAATTGTAGTCCAACTAATTAAAAATCCACAACCAAAAAGACGCAAATTTTTTCAACACGATAAAGTAGTCAGGTATAATGTAAAGTTGGGAAGACTTTAAAAAAACGCCTGCATGAAATAGTTACTTAACCACAGCAGTTAGGCAGGAAAGACAGTGAAGATCATAGGAATGCTTGATTTTTAAAATATTGGGGAAGTAAGTAAAAATATATAGGGCGTTGCAGTTAAAAAATGTTTTTATGTTACCACGCTATTATGAAACACCCTGTATAATTGACAATATTTTCAAAAACGTTTGCTCTTGGATTTTAAGCACTTAATAAGTAAAAATTATTATTTTTTCAGTAATTTTTTCAACTAAGGAGCACATGGCATTTTATATTAAGAGCTAAGAGTATAAGATATATGGAAAGGTCGCATATACTGTTACGAATGCCATCTAACATTTAGTTTTTAAAGTAATGCGTCACACTGAAAATACTACAGTAGCTTGTAATTTTGTATATTGTATATTTTAATAAAAAAAAATTAAAACCATTTCGATATAAATTATTTTTTTCAGATTTTAACTTTCAAACTTTAAATTGAATTGAACCGTACGTTCCGCGCGTTTTCCGTTTTCATGACACAATCACTAGAGGCGTTGAAACTCGCTTTTTAACATTCCCACTAATGAGAGCCTTCCCCTCTATCTTATACTCTTTGATTATGCCACCCTGTATCTTTTTGGGGTTTTACGTTCTTCATCATTTAGAGAATAAAATATGGAGTGTTGAAAAAGATTTGATTATGGTTTTTCTATAAATACGCAAATTAAAAAAACTGCTACCAGATGCTATAATATTTGTTCCAATTTTAGATTTTCAGTCATATTGACTAATTTGCATTATTGATGTTTTTTACATAAGCGTTACTTTTTCCCTTTTCGGCTTATTGGTTTTTTTAGTTCAATATGCAAGTCGAGGTGTAAATAATTAGTGTTAGGAATATAAAAAATAGCATTTTTTGAGTTGATTTTTTAATTTTTTGGTTAACTAAAAACTTACAAATAAAAAAATGGAGCATAATTTTCTCAAATAAGTACCTATACCAAATTTAAAGGGCTTTATAAATGTGGTTAAACTATTGACTATTAACTGAGCTGATTTTTTTATTTTTTGATAACAATGGCCAAAAATTAACAAATAAAGTGTACCAAATTTTATTCATTATCTTTCAGGGTTTTAAACGTCGTTAGATAAATGAAAAAAATATTAGTTAAGGGCCGAAGTAGCAAAATTCCAGGTTCACATTTTTGGAAAAAAAGCATACCTAAAATTTGTTGTCTGCTCCACTTGGGTGAGAACGCACGAGTGTAAATATTCATTATAGACGAACCCCACCGGACAGCACTTTGAATAAATTTCAGCATGAACTTGATCCACAATTTCAAAACGTTCATGTACTTTTTCGAATAGATACAATTCATTGCTCAATAGATCGATGCAAAAACTTGTTTTACTATGGTCGGTCCGTTGATTCACTACCACTAAATCGGATCTAGAATTACGGTCGCATGTGTATGACACGTTTGCAGATGTCATCGCACAAGTTTCGCAGCAACATTTCGGATAATCAGACGATTTCGCATTGACGCTGTTCAATATCATTAAAAACAACGAAACTAGACAAATAAACATTTTTTTGTTCGGCGATGTGACTTTGAGATCGGGAGACAAAGAAGTAACTATTTATATACGAAATCTTTTCTGGACGTTCTGGTTAACCGGGAGTCGATATCATAAAGGGGCGGAGTTTAGCGGTCGTTTTTAGTTTGTTATTGCCGGACACGATATTGTAAAATAATAGATCAAGCGAAATTTATAAGGTTCTAGGGACATTTAATATTAGAATGACATTTCTGCCATATTGTAATACATAGCGATAATTGAAGGGTATCATTTCGGTCCACACTTCAAACATAACAATTTAATATAAGCCACATAACTATTAGAGATATAGACGCCCTCCTATACAGAAACTTGTCAAACAACTATAAAAAAAAATTGAGAATTTTGAGATTTTTACCAGATAGTCAATAAGTTTGGATGCTGCATTCTTACGGCCCCATTTTCTAAAATTATGCCTTGATCTCGTTGTGAGAACACGATTTAAGTGTGTGTAAATCGCTATTTACATATCTTATCTATACCTATATAACATAAACATACCTCCTTGCTAGATATTGGTAGTACCAAATATAACATACCACAGCGTTAATAGTTTGGCCCTCACCTATTTATTGTGTATAATAAATTTTTACTGATTACGATGCCAATACTTTTTTAATTTTATCAGATCGCTCAGTAACTAGACCAGAAATATATGGAATGGTAGAATGCTCATAAAATGCTTTTAAACAAATAAGAGACTCCAACCCAATAATATCCATGGATTCTATATTGGCTGTAGTTTATACAATAAAACTTCTTATGATTGATGACAAACTTGTAGGTTACCAGACTCCTAAAATTTGTCAAGGGAGTTATTCAGGTTAATTTTTTAAATTCTCAAGTAAATAATTTTTTATAATTCCTTTATATTAAAATGGAGCTGTTTCGCTTTATTTCACTTAAAAGTATCTTAAGAGTTAATCGAGTTTGATGTCGAGCTTGTTCATTTTAGGTCACTATTTGTGCCACACAGAATAATACTATAAAAGGGAGTTTATCTTCTTTAACAAAACCATCATGATTTTAACACCAGATCAGACCGAGTAATTATATCATATACTTTCCAAATCAAAGGCTAATTCATTGAATTTAAATTTATAACACAAACTCCCAACCAGGGTATAGGAAGCAAAAATTAACAAATTTAAAAAATCGTTAAGCGTCATCCTGTTCTTAAAAATTGCTTTTTACAGTGTTGAAGAATTCTTCTATAACAACACAATGATGTAAATGCTCGTACTGTTTACTATACTGTTTACTGTTTACTATAATTTGCATTTATTGTGAGAAATAGTCATTACCGTTTTAAATAAATTAGCATGTTATCACAGTTAACCACAAAGATCCTGGCAATATTAATATAAAAAATATTTCCTTCTTTTTCCAATTTGAACTGGATTCATTGCTGTTATAGAACCATCAGAGTATTCAATATTAAAAGAAAAACTTATTAACCGCCATGGATATTTGTTTACGATTACCAGTGCCACCATCAGAGAATAAATTGTCTTTAACATGTATATTATGCAGAGCTCTCTGTCTGTAGTATAGCGCAACTACCATCGTAGCAGATAGCTTCTTAAAATTGAATTTGGTGTGATTATTGATTTACTTTCGTCACAGAATACAACATTGTAGCCTGTGCTTTCATCAGGAATATAGACAAATGTACAAATAGGGGTCATGTTAATGAAATTAACATTTAAAATATGGACATTTATCCATTGCGTTTTAGCCAGACACGAAATTTTTTGTTAAACAAAATAATCATTTGCCCAGTTTGAAAGTCCGGCGTTATTACTGCACATTTTGAATTATTTGATCCACTTCGCTTTAGCCAGAAATGAAAATTTTTATTAAACAAAATAATCATCTGCCTAGTTTGAAAGTCACACCAAAGCAAAATGACGTGAAATAATTTATTTGAATTCGAATGGTTTTGTGCGGATATTTATTGCTCTACGTTACATAAACTATTTTCTAAGATGACAAATTTGTTTCCCACAGAATGGCTTCCACAATGTTTATTTAATCTCAGACGAATATATACAAAGATGAAAGTTCAACTGGATTGAGATCCTGCACCTGCTTTTTTTTTTGTTTTCCGTAACTTTTCAGTTACTAGGAAATGAAAAAAATTATCCTTTTATTATGTGATTAACATTCTGAGAATGCAAGTAGATACAGATAAAAAATTTAAACTAAGTTGGCACAAAAATATATAAACATTCACGGTTTTTAGAACTTTACTTTAATAGGTCAGTTTATACAAATATTTTGTTTCATTTTTAACAACAATAATTTAAAAATGGTACTACTCGACTCATAGATACACGAAAATACTGACTCTATTTTGCATGTCTATTTAATTTTTTAATTGTTAATTTAATTCTATTTTTAAGTATACATAAAGAACCGAATAAGGAAACATTCGGTTCAAAATTAGACAGCTGTAAAACAACTAATTAAAGAAAAAATTATAAACTCAATAATTGAATTAAAACGCCAATGAATAAGAATAAGAATAATTCACAATACATTTTTAACTCTGATTCATTTAAAAACATTGTCTTCTTAAAACGTCAGGCAATAATAGAAAAATTTTTATAACGAATATTTAATTATACAAAATTCGCTTTTTACCTTCTAAGATATTTGAAAATTAAGGGCAGCGATGGCGGAGATCAAATTCCACTAGTAAGAGATTTGAGGATTTCTCAAAAATTCCGATAATTTAGGATCCGGGGCTAGGAAACAATCTGATGTTCCCTTTCAACTGAATATTTACAAGATTACTAACCAAAATGAAAACTTTTCCTTCAACATTAACGCTAACATAAACAAAATATTCATTGTAGAGATGACAGGTTAAGAACGTTCGATTAAATAACATAAACACGGAAAATAAAAGAACTTAAAGTGTAAGGGGCACATCCCGGCATTGTTGATCAAACTGAGAAATTGTATAAGCATTTTAAGTTGTGTTGAAGATCAAGGATAAACAAAATGTATAACGTTTTCCCCGCCTGTCAAAATTCCAAACGAAAAGCTCGTTAAATTGAATAAGCAATTTTAAATTCGACCGGCATTTCGCACATTTGAGTTTCATCGAATTTTGTTCTAGCCCTTTATATTTTTATATCGAGTTCAAATCCCTTGGTTATATTTTTTACAGATCCACATCAAGAATATTACTTAAAATTATCTTGCATTGACGGGCATATCATTGAAATTTTCTACTATATACGCCAAATGTAAAATTTGAATATCAGATCTCATATTATCATCGTAAAATGACAGTTTTATTTAAACAGTGGATGTAGGATTATGTATTATGAAAAATGAACAGAATGCAGATTGATTGATTGATTGATTAATGACGAAATATTCTGAACACGTTCATTATTTTAATTGTTTTGGAAAACATTAAAGACGAAATAATTATATACTTTATTCTGATCTATACAGATATTAAACTAATTAAAATTCGTGACAGTTACTTAAATCCAGTCTTTACAAAAAAATGCGGTAGTCAGCATTCCACTGCAACAAAAAAAATCAGCCTTTAATTCGTATAACTTGTTTCCAAACAATCGCAAAACCAGCAGAAAAAAGCTCATGTACTGTTTACGCTGCCTTTACCGACTACGTCCATCTGAACCCCATTTGGTGGCAAGTGACTTGTTAGAGAGGTGGAGTAAGACGTTCTTCTCTCGCTCAAGCCTAGCTTTAGTTTCACGTGATGCAGCGTTTTCTTCTTGAAGATGAATATCACAAATATGAAGACACCTGAAATTGCGTTAATGTAATAAGTTTATTGAAATTGTTCTTGCTTAAACTGAAAACAGTACTTTAAAAATCTTGTATTGTGCGTTCAATTTATCTTGATAACATGTTTATTGGCTGTTACCTTTTTGTTTTAGAGATATCAAGGTAAACAAAAAAGCAAAATGTAGGGTTAATAGCTAAGTTTTTTCCAACTGACGTGTGAGACAAAACATTATCTATTTTCTGACATATAAGCTCACATCATACTTCTTTAAATGGAACATCCTGTATATCATATATGTGTTTAATAATATATCTTATTTCGATTAAAATGATGTAACACTCTTTATATTTTAGTTCACTCGTTTTTGGCAAAAATAGGAAATAAAAATATGTTTATGTTTGACATATTAATAAACAACGTTGATGGTTGAACTATTGTCCAAGTCATTATTGTTAAAATGATTTTTCGCGAATTTAGCAACCTTGAAAGAAGTGATATGCTTCAAGTACCCTTTCTGAATAATAAAAGTGCAACCGCAACTTGTCGTCAGTATATTAGACTTTATCCAGAGCGCCGAGCTCCTTCAAAGCAGATATTTCCAAGGCTGGTGAAGAAATTTGCAGAAAACGATAACGAATTAAATTCTAATCCCAATGTTTTACATGAAGAAAATAAGGCATATTAGGATTGTATTACTAGAGGATTTGAAGAGACAGGTATTTTTCGGAAATCAATCCACTCAGTTTTGAAGGAATATGAAGATAAAGCATTTATATTTCGTAAAACTCAAAAACTAAGTGCAGAACAATGTCAAAGGAGGATACAGTTTTGTTTGGATTTTTTAAAAAGACATAATGAGAATAACAAATTTTTTCAAAAACATTTTATGGACTCATGAAAGTTTGTTCATTACAAGAAAGGGTTGTAATAGACACACGTGATATTTTAAATAATCCTAGAAAAATATACGAAATGAACACCCAAATTTTTGAAAGTTCTGGAGAGATTATAAGTGACAATTGATTAAAACCGTGCAAATTATTGTTCCACACAAATTGGATGTGATTTGTTTTGATTTCATTTAACAATGTTGTATAAGAACAATTATTCTCACGCTCAGACAGGCAATGTTTATATTTCTAGGCTATTAAATTGTGCTTCTTCACATCTGTTATTGTAATATGCCGCGTTTGGCTACCATGGCTGCGATAAAATAGTCCACCAAATTAATATCAAAATTTAATTTTTACACATCTTACCTTGCAAGCAGGTAATGGTATCCATTACAATTTCAAAATTCTTCGTGAAGCTACTGATTTTATTCATATCGAAAAATGCTGAAATAACTTCGAAGACAAAAATTACGCCCATGATCACGGCCAGTTTTATAATAAGGCTCAACCTGAAACAATCAATTTAGGGAATTAAAGAAGTAAAATTGTAAATTCCAATTTTTTATTAATTACTACATGTCTTAGAAAGTTTACTTGATATTTTAATATGTACGCTAGCCTAACATACCTGTCTTTATCAATTGCGAATTTGGTCTTCTCCTTTCTTCCTTTGGTGTCATTCATTTTGCTTATTTCATTTTTTACATTTATGCAATAAGTGATGGTTTTGATGAAAAGGATAGTGTTGATTATCTGAAGTATTAGTTGAGGTACCAAAAGAAACACTATATGTGCGTAATTACCTAAAACGGGTCAAAAATATTAAACCTAATTTCATTTTTTTAAGTGACTTAAGTTACATACGTTTCTCGAGGATGCAAAAAAATATCCCCACGTATGGTTGAATGGATTCTGGTAAAATTTTGAATGTCTCGAGAGTCAGGATCAAAAGAGTGTGAAAAATTGGCATTCCCCATCCATACAGGCAATACAAGAGTATCTTTTTTAAGTCCTTTTTCCGTTGATCCCTTCCAATACTCCTTTTCGGTGTTCTGAAAATTGACAATTAACTTAGAAGCGTATAGTACATGCGTGTAAATTCAAAGTAAACTAATAGAAATGGACGTTTATATTACATGAATTTAAGGCAAAAATAAATAAAGAAGAGTAAATTTTAATTTCAAAAGCGTAGGTATTAAATGAGGCAGTAGATAAGTGAAATGAAACGGATTTTTTGTGCAGTTTTTATTTTCAAATCAATTTTAATTTTTATTGATGGAAATCTTTGAGGTGTTAAGACAGCTGTCAATTAGAGTAATTGTGTTTTTTTCCTTTAGTTTCCGGCGATTAAAAAGAAAAGTCAAATTACTAGACCCTTCCGTTGCAGTATCATATAGACTGCCTCGGATGATGTATTGGCCCTATTAGACTTACGTCATTATGTTTGCGTGTCAATAAGTAAGTTAGCTATAAGCACACAATCAAGATTATTAGGGTATCGGCAAACGTACTTCGAGGCGATAGCGAAACTTATTAATAGAAGAATTATTGCTGTCTCGGTTACTTTGTCAACCAGTAAGGAACTAATTTATTGATAACCGTAAATATTATTTTTTTATATTTTTGTTAAAAAATAATTAATAGTTGTTTATTGTGCAATGAAAAGGCGGAAAACAATGTGGTCACATAAGTGCACAATATACGGGAAATTTTGTATTAACTGCTACACCCATACAATTATTACCGAAAATTAGTGCATGTTCGTCAACCATTTTAGATGCACTTAGAATAGTTCCAAGTCAAAGTTTATGCAGGGTAGGTCATTAAATATAAAAATTGCAAAAGAGTAGCGTACCGTATAATAAACATTTAAAATAAAGATTTTGCACTTTGAATTTTATTTTTTTAATTATGGCTGTTGTGTTACCTTGATAAGAAGATTTGTTTCGAAGTTTTAGAGTTGCGAAATTAAAAATCATTTAATTTTAATTTTTAAAATAAAAATGGCGAACTCACGCAAATGTGTTCCGGTTTGATTTGATTTTGATTAATTTCTAAACATGTCTGTTTGATTCTAAATATCTTTTCGGAATAGTATTTTGGTTGTCGAATATTCACCGGCTTTCAACAATAATTGGATTTTTGTGAAAAAAGAACAATTAAAAAATTTCCCAATGTGTTGCACGCTTAAATATGTGTTCTTACCGTTCATTGTTGTTTAATCATATAGGTATTTTTACCACACATGAAAAGTCGAATGATTAAAATTTTGTTAATTAAAACCGGACAGGGCATCCATGTGGTTGTTATTAGTTATTAGTCGATCTTGTTTATCAATATAAGTTACTGTTTTGATTCCTTTAAAAATCTAACACAACTAAAATAAGGTACGCTCAATTTTCCTCTTACCTTAAGTGTGTGAAGGCCTAAACAAATGAACCAAAAAGTGATTAATGTTTTCCAGAGCTTTTAATTTACATTTTGCTGGCGTAACTATCGTTGAAAGTGTACCTAGTATAATTATGTTTATCGAGCACTTAAACGCAGTATCAAAAACAAACACTTGTTTAAAGCGGCGCCATTGTATCTGCCATGTAGCACACATTAATAGCAGTAATTTGCCCATTCTTCTAAGTTAAATAAAAAATGACCATTATTTCACTGGCATTATTTTCAATTGCGCATAATATGCGGTTCACACAGCAAATTTCAATAGCGCGAGTTAAGTTGGCACGATATGAATATTTCTAGAATTTAAATGAACAAATGGAAAAAGAAAGTATGACTTCAAATTTTATGCTAATATACTTAGAGGCTGTTTTATTATGAATGCCTAATTTTTTAAGTTTTTGATTTATTGTAGTATAGTATTCAGGGGAATTTTTTATCTAATTTTATGTTGTGTAGACTTGTTACTCGCACCGGTAGTAATAGTAGTAGAAATAATTTTATGTATATTTAACCTTATATTTATAATATTTAGGAGCCTCCTCTCTCCACCCTTTTAAGTTCGTTAATGAACTACAAGAAAAATTTGCGAACTTATTCAGGCTTTCTTACAATGTTAATAGAATTATGACTTCATTTAAAATTTTCGAAAAAATCTTGAATTTTATGATTCACTCTATGCGCCGATGCCAATTTAAGACAACATTTTTTCTGAAACTCTAAGTCAAATAGATATGACCACCCTTAATGAAAAACTTACATCAATAAAAAAAAAATTCAAGCACTATTCTTCAAAAATGGAAATCACAAAAAAATACAGTAAGTTGTTTTATCACGTAGAAAATAATAAATGCTTTAAGATTTGTGTTTGTGATTCCTAATTAAGATTTATTCTATCCAATGTGGCACAATTTGCGGGCATCAATTATTAAAATTTTATTATATGTAACGTACTGGAAATTAATTACAATTTTGCTTATTATTAATTATATTATTTCTGCCCTTTTTCGACATCAAAGACAAGTTGTTTCTCTCTGTGCCTTTTAAATTATCATTCCATGTGTGCAGGCAACTTTGTGATAGGCTGGCCTGTAATTCTGATTAAGCAAGTCGAAATGAGACAAAATTACAAAGTTCATGGTAGCGTATGACAGAAAATTTGCATATTCACAACAAGAAAACCTAAATTTCATATGTTCGCCGCCGCCATTCGTTATCAAAATAGCGACTTACTTATATAATTGAAAGGAGACATGGTACATTAGAGGTTTTTATTACTTTAGTTGGTAATTGTTTAGAATATGCGCTGTTGGAATCCGTATCTTAACTCATCTCTCCCGTGCAACGCTAATGCGTGCAATAAACTACGTAAATAATTAATTACTTTTTTTATTTACCTTCGCGGTAATCGAATGTTTGAAAATTCTGTTAATAATGTAGAAAATGTTTTCTTACGAATCAATTGATCTCGCAGTAAAATCAGTCAGTATTTTAAAAACTGGTAATTAGTAAATTTATAAGTAGGATATATCTGGTCTGTTAAAATATCGTTTATTAAAAATTTAGATCATCAATATTGTCAATATTACTTGATGATGTTTCCAGAGAATGCTGTTTCTTAGTAAAAGGTCTGTTACTAATACTGTAAGGGTCCTGTTGAAAATGGAAGAAATGGAAACATAGAAATAAAATAAAATAAAACCAAAGAAACAGAATAAGCAGAAATGAAACATAATGCTGTCTAGGTCGTGACAATTACACCTTCTGTAGCCGTCCAAAAACAATAATTACTTAATCATTAAGCTTTACTTATTAGCATTTTGTGATATTTTTAGATATTATTAAAAATTACTCATACAAGCGCTTACCCAAATGTAAACCAGATATCCAAAGACATGATATTCAACCAAGCGAATAGCGCCGAGTTGAAGAGGATGATAGAATAACCTGAAATAAATCATATTCCTTGGTGCTTGCAAAAAAGTGTACCTTATCCAGACAAAAAAACTCAAAATGTACATTTAGTTAGTTATTACAATTACAATTATAACATTTATTCTATTATTAGAACTCGTTAAGTTTTTAGTTAAGATCCATATAGTTTGTTCTGATTTTTGCAAGTCGATTATACACCACACACTTAAAACTTAAAATTTATATATGTTGTTCATCTCACAAACAAATATTCATTTGCTAATATTTCGTGTGCTTTTCTTCTTTTGAATGTGCTATTTATATAAAAACTGTTATTATTATTATTATTATTATTATCATTATTATGATTATTATTTTATTATTAATATTTTAGCGGCAAAAAATTTTATCCCAAACATTTTTCAGATTTTTAAACTAAAGTTTCCCTATGATGTATGTCGTATATCAATAAAGATTCCAGACTTCTACACTATTTATATAAAATGTGAATGGGTTGGTTCCATTTAAATTGGCATGTAAATGTCCATAACTCAGTCAAATTCAGGCATATCCAATAGTTGTTCGTGTTTTTTCCTAAATTAATTGCTTAAATATAATTAGCTACCTACCTCTGATTTTACACTCGATTCTGGAAACGATAAGGTAGCGATGCGCAATGGTCAGTATCAACATCAGCAACATCATGGCTACGCAGTAATTTATGAGAATTTTACCGAATGTGTTTCTGGTCTCGCCCATGGCGATATAACACACGATGGTGATAACCAGAAATATCACCGATGCAATTTTCGCCCAGAGCGTGAACTCGAACTTTGCAATCACCTCAGTTTGGCTGTGACAGTTGAATATATGGTATCCGGCAATATTCTTTTCTTTTTTGACCGCATGTTCGATGCAGTACGATTGGGGATGGTCGTAGGTTTTTTCGATGAACGTGCCACTGTAGTTGTGGTAATATTTGAATACTCCATCCTTGTCGATAGTGTAGGATATGGTGTTGTTGGCAAGGAGAGTGACCCTGGGGCATCGCGTGTCATATATAACTTCGAAGTTATCTGAAATATCATTTTAATTATCTCTAATCAATATTTTTCAAATCGAGACGGAGTAGTTTTGCACATTTCCTTTCTATTTTCTTTCTCAAAATATTTTTGCCCCTTTTGTTTTTTATCGCTTAACATTATTAAATTAAATCGTGAAAATGGCTAAAACCATCTCATTTTTCTATTAACTAATACTCGTCGGCAATGTTCGCCCACATAGGTGTGTCTAGGTAATTAAAATATTAACTGTCGTAATTATGCTTTATTTTTCCTTTCATATGGAGAAAATACAAAACAAAAATAGGTAGTTTATTTAGTCCAATGTTAAAATATTATTTTAGTAGTGTAACGTCCAAAATCAGTTTGCAAGAGACGCAATTTTATAAATATATTTTTGTAACGGCTTGGTGCACTTAGATATATTTCAAGTTGAACATTATACGAGGTGGAAGAAAAAATGTAAAATCTAGTGAAAAGTAAAGTATCCCCAAAAAGAGTGAGAAGGAAAAAAAAGTTAAAAAACGGACTAACTCTCGTATAATTACGTACTTGGTCGTAGAAATTCGTGATAAAAGTGTCATTTATCAAAATTGTTTCATAATATAGTATTATCCATTCCCTATTCTAAAATAGATAATGGCCTGATCAAGCGTGCACCAGACCTCATCTCAAAACGTCTAAGTACTTCATTAAACACTGTCGCTAGCGTTTTCGGTACTTTAGTCACTGGTTGTGCATGTGCTAAACAAACTCGTGTCGCAAACTAATGCACTACACTGTATATCCCTAGTCATCTACATTATTAGAATTAACTGGAACAAATACCATTTTACTGATTAAACTGTTATTGGATTACATGCGGACTGAGTGCTTTGCGTTGGTCGCAAATTTATTTCTATTTGGTTATAATCGTGGGAGCAAATGATATTAAAGAATATTAAAATGCAAAATGTAGTTTTATAAAGCACCTCTACAAATCTTAACCAGTTCTAAGAGATGAATGAATGGTTTTGGGATTAACATTAGTTAGTTTTGGGTAACTCAGCAACTCACCGTGCTATTCTCTTTCGATCAATAAAGACGTAGACAAGTGCTACTATGTAGTGATTTATACCTTTAAATTTATTAAATAGCAATTTAAGAAAATAGTTTTACATTATTTCGCTGGAAACAGCGGCATATCCAGAATTATAATATTCCTGGGCATTTCTATGCATTACATCAATAGACTGCCGAATATTATATGGACATATTCCTATCCAAACCGTGCTTGTTAGGTAGCACGTGTGGTACATCTTGCCGTACCGATAGATTTTGCCAATAGAAGAACAAGCAATATTTACCCAATCCGTATAATTGTAGCAAATCTTTTTTTTTCGAGTTTTTCTCTAACACATTTTACATAAAACTAAATTAACACTCGATTTGAATTATTCACTTAAATTATATAAAACGACTTTTCCATTCTGTATTTGATAAAAATCGAGAAATTTATGGCCTGTTTGTGGCTGTCTCAAATTTTATAGACTCCAAACTGTGGCCTCAACATTGTTAAGTAATAAAAAATTCAGATAAAATTTAATATTCTGAAACGCTATTCTAATTTGGATTATATTACCAAAATTATAATCCCGCAATGTTTATCATATTAACAATACGTAACTTGCGTTGCTTAATGGAAATATGATGTATTTTAACATAAGTAAAATCCCATAATATTTAATCCAGACACTATTTACACAGACGCGCCGTGTTAGAATTAACGTCATAATTAACGAATAACCATTATCCAAAATATTTTTCTGAAATATGTATGTATTTGCGTATTGCTAGGTTTATTTTAAATCTATCTGTTTATTATTCTTTTCATGCCGTACTGTGAAAAGATGTTCATTTGTGCAAAAAATTAAGATTGAATGATATTTTTCATTTTCGTACAACTTGTACTAGTGTATAAGTAAATTGAATATATCAGTATGCTTTTAATATTTTAAATATTAAGAGCAATAAACATGTTTTGTTGAGTAGTTGCCGAATGAGTTGTAATGTTGGACAGTTTTTTTGATTTAAAGGAAACCATACGCGGGTAATATTTTTTTCAAAAGCTGCTCCATAGTTTTTACTGTTTGTCAATACCAGACGATTCAAATTCTCAAGCATATTGCGAATGGGGCAATACAAAGAAACAAAATAATATGCGAACATACATAAATATTGAAAACAATCTAAATTTCATTAATGTTTCACTTGGTTCTGTGGTTTCTAAATAAACCACTCAATTTTTAATTTAATACTTTGGATTTGTTCTGTCAAAAACTAGGAAAAAAAATTTGACTCTTTATCACAATTTATATAAAAATATAAATTTAGTCATTTAATTTTAATCACTTGCACTTTTGTTGTCTAATGGTTAATTGAAGTTTTAACCAAGAAGGGTATATATTAGTTAAAAGCTTGTTTGAAAAGACAAAAGTTAATTTACAACTATTCTAAACATTGGAAGTGTGGTTGCTTAAAAGAGGGAAAAATTTCTTATACGAAATTTTGAGAATCTAGTTCACATTTATTTCCAAATTCGTTTTCGTATGGACGGGAAAAAATAGTAATATTCTCTAAAGCTAAAGGTATCTCCGAAATGTAAGTTAAAAATTGTTTTTTCTTTTTTAGTTTAGGTCTTTGCGAGTATCTGCGTCCAGTATCCACCTTAACTATTATATTTCATATAATGAACAAGAACAAATATTATGTCAATTTAATATTCTAGTAAATCGCAAATATTAATTTAAAGTGGAATTTTTTGACGTCGTGTCGCATTAGTTCCATAAAAGAATTAGACAAGCAGGTAATTTTGCGCGAAGTAAAGAACAGAGAGTCTTTTTGTAAATTAAGCAAACAATTAAAGATTTAGTGTCACTTCAAAGTAGCCCTAAAATATTTTACCTTCAGGATCCTCTATGCCATCCGAAAAATGCTGGGAAGCAATCTGCACCCCGTAGACGTGCGTGTCCTTGCAATTCGCTCCCCCTACGTAACTTTGGCCGTCCGGACAGCATTTTCTGATACATCTCTTTCGCTGGCATATTGACAAGTTGTCCTGGCACTCTCGTACCACGAAACCACCCTTACTATTCTGGTCCAGGCAAAAAGACCCCTCGCTCACGACATCCAAATCCAAAATGGTTTCTATATGAACGACGCTCTTATAGAACTTGTCCAAAATAATTTTGCATGTAGGTAAACCAACGCTTAGGTAGTTTCCCTTGATGAAGTCGTGGGAAATGTTATTGTCGATAGCACAAGAACGGCGGTCGTGGTCGTATACGAACCCCAAAGGGCAGCATTTCGGAAATAATGTCTCGTTGATGACGGCGATGGCGTTCAGTTCTTCGTTCTTCACTTCGTAGAGGAGAAAATTGTCGCCGGTAACCTCTACGCATTCACCACTAACAGAACCGTTTAGAAAATTGTTTTCTTCGGTTAGTATTTGTAATCTGCGTCTGCTATCCGGCTGACAAGTAAATCCTGCTTTGACTTTCACCAAGTTATCTTCGGCAGAGCAGCACTTAGCCAGCTGATCCTCAGACGCCGTCACGCGATTAAGCAGCAATGCACATACGACTACAGGTGTAATAATCATTTTCAAGGTTTTATCTGGTCGTAAATTTAGTCATCGCGCCATAACAGTACACTTGCAACTGCGATGCGAGGAACAAGCGCTTTACTAGTAGCCAGCGGCTGAATTGTCGGTTTATTGTTGCGGGAGTCGAAGCTCTGGTCACAGGGGAGTCTTCGCGAAGTCGGGGCGCGCAGTTGCTGAGTGGGGGGATTTTGCAAACCACCCCAGCAACGAGTACAACATTTTGGTCGCTGGCGAATTTCAGTTATATTAAATTGTTTATTGATGTGTTGCTGGCGCCACATTCTTAAAGCGTCATAGTCATAAATAAACAAAATACTGTAAAACTCTTACAAAAAATTAAATTAAGTAATATCGTTCTAAAGAAAACATTCTAGCGTATCGATCATGTCCAATGGAAAAAATTGAATTTTAAAATCGCCCGGAAATAGTAATCAAATCAATACCTAATTCAAAAACATTTAGAAGCAAAATCTAACTTAAACATGGCTTTACTGTAAGGGGAAAGTTTTGCAAGTGAGGGTTTCGAAAGATCTTGATTAACTCTATCTTGTCATCTTCCAATGTTTTATGAAAACTAAGGGTTATGAAAAGCTCGTTACGTGCTCTGGATTCGCTTTTTAAGAGCACTTTAAGAATAATAAGAAACAGTTTTGGACTATGAGCCCTTTGCAATAAAAAATGAAAAATGTAATGTAAAAAACGTATTTGTACATAGTTAAAAATAGACACTCTATATATTTATATGTACAGGGTGTAACAGTAAGGGTGAAGAGGTGCTCTGATCAGTAATTGCATTCATCTAAATAGTATATAAAATCTACATAATACATAACGAACCAAATTAGGATACGAAAATTATTGGTTAGTTTGCACTTTCTACTCTCAAATATGAACTGATCAGGCGTGCATAAAGTGTCACTTTGAAAAGACAGCTTGTTTAAACAGTGTCACGTGTTGAAATGTGGGTGAAGTTAGAATCGGAAATGAAAACAAAATTAATGTTCAAATAAATAAATTTAGTTAAAATAAAGTTAGTAGTTGATAACTGAGTTTCGGGTCATTTCTGTTGGGTGAGATTTTATGCTTTAAAACATTATAAATATATGAAACAATTCGTGACAACCATTTAAATTGTTTAGGAATTGAATTTTTTTTATTGCTTCATGCTTATCAGGATGACAACCCAACTGTGGGTTAGTTGATCAGGAACAACTTAATTCACAAGAGGGAACAAATGACCAGAAACATGGAATGATGCTGATTTCAGTCAGTTAATGAACTGAAAAAGAGAGCTCAGCGGCAAAATCTGCGGTTATTATGCGCCTTAGTCATGGTAGGTCCTTCCCCCACCGGCAGGTGGTATGCAGGCTTCTACTGTCATACCTCCTCATAAGTTGTTTGGTTTTGTCATAAAAGGTTTTATTTGACTCCATTTTAAGCATCAACTTGGACCAAAAAAAGATGGAGGGCGGAAGCGAGACAGAGAAATGAGGGGCAAACTCCGTTCGCCTCAAACACGACGCAAAATTACATTATACATTAAAATCTTCTGGTTGTTTTTTTTATGGATCGTAACGAATTCACTGAACCAAGCGCTAAAGCGGTAACTGCGCCATCTTGCATTAAATCATGGAATTATTTAGTTAAAGCAAGCACCAATATACGGCGCGTATACCGCAATGATGACATCTCCTGCTGCGGGGCTGGAACTAATGCTGCAGTAGTACCATCTACCTTTGCTAACAAGTTGCACCACACGGCGATAGTGGTGCCATCTTTCGCTAAGTCAAGGAACTAATTAGTTGATGAAGCACTAATCGATGGAGCGCGCACTGCAAAGGTTCCTGGCTGCCGTTTGACGCTGCAACTAATTGGAGGAGGCAATCAAGCAAGGGATTGTCGCACAAACGCCAGTGGTGCCATCTCTCATTAGGCACTAAAACTAATAAATTGAGGCAGGCACCGATAGATGGCGCGCATACTGCGGTGTTGCCATCTCTAGCTAGGTGTTCGAATTCATTAATTAAAGCGACCAGCATTTTTGAGATTTGTCTTAAATACATCTAAATGAAGCAATAATTGTGCACATTTCAATGGCGGCATTCTTCGTGTTCGTGGTCGTTGCCTGTCGTAAAAGTTTATCTGGTACTCCTACGGAATAGCAACTTTCAGCTCCTGTGTGGTGTGGTTGTTGTATATTACCCTAGGAATGCTTTGCACTTCACCATGCAGGAGAATATGTGGTCCCACATTTTGGAAATGCGACTTTCATTTTTCTTACAATGCTACCCTAAGAATGCAAGAAAACCCCGCAGTATAGAGAAACCGAAAATTTCAAAAATGAAAAGTGAACTACTTTCCTTCAAAGGCGCATTTAAGAGCCTTTTTAGTTGGAGGCAACTAAAATTTAAAGATTAGTTTAGTAGGGTATGTTTTGGGTTCTGTGTTATCCTTTAATAAACAAATAAGTCGGAGTTTAAGTAGGTGAGGGTGAACGCAGCCAATGCAAAAAGCAAATAAAATCTCAAAACTCTAAAAACAAAGTTCTACAAACGCAGAAACTGATCAAAACTGCAAATTCACCACAATAGTATATCGCTATGGTAATTGTAAAACTTGCAGGTGGTTATAAAAACCCACAGCGATCTAAACAGCATTTTTTTTTTAATTAACCAGAGGTGATATTGTCTGAAAAATAAAGCAAAGTGGAGTGACAATATGCGGCACACACCATAGATGCGAATAAGTGGTGGTCTTACAATTAGGCTGACAATATAATCGAGAAATTTTGTACGTAAGTTCCAAGTTTGGTTTTGCAATACATAGAGTACAGACTGGATTACGAGCTAACGAAATGCGTAACTAAAACATATTTTGAAACGGGCTGCATTTCCGACTAGAAAATAAGCGCCTTCTCCTTCACTACTTACAAGATTGTTTTTTGAACTTCACTGTTCGCTTTTTCGGTCTTTGTTTTGGGTTTTTCTGCCTCCACTTTGATCCTTTCTTTGGCGACCATGGAGTGCCCCACGTTAACTGTAACGCCATGCAGAGGCGACAAGGTTCGCTTTAAAGATTTTTGATATTCCTATATCTTAAAAAAAAATCAAATAATTTAACAGCAAGATTTGGGTGAAAACAAAAAAATTCTCTCTATAAAATGAGACGTTACAGGAAAATTGTGTCGTATCCAAAGCCCACTTGTTTGACCTTGCCCATGGTCAACGCTTGCATGGTCCACAATAACATAATATTGGAACGAACTGGTTGATGCATAATATTGCAGCGCCTGGTGTCTCCACCATTCTTAGTGGAAGAAAAAACCAGAGCTAAAATTGATAAAAACCAGAGATTCACCTTCATAGCAGAATGATGGAGAAAATTAATCCCCTTCATCCATTTACTGAGAATAGAAAAAAAAAACAAGCTATAACTGACAACTGGTGCACCTTTGTTAGTGGTTACAGTCTAAGATATAGCAAATTGTGGACAGAAGCAACCCACTTTGTCGAAGAAAAAAAAAAGGGAACTGGAGAGGCGGAAATTAATCATTCTTGCAAAAAAATTATTGGTCGCATTGCACCTATGGCAAAACCGTAGCGGAAACGTCGGGTACTATATGCAAACTCAATATGTTGTGGAGTGAATGTCATTCCTGGAAGCGGTTTTATTTTGTGTTAGATAGTGTTAGTTTAGGATGGTATTGGGCTAAAGGATTTGCTGACCTTCTACAGGAGGGGCGGCATTCTGGACGCCCTCTAGAGCGGCCTGGGGGCACAACGGGCCCATCTGGTGGCCTAAGTGCTTGGACGCCCGCGAGGGCGCCCCCCTTTAATACCAATACCAATACCAATAGTGTTAGTTTCTTGAACAGCAAATTTGCTTTTGAAGATAATGAATTTAAATGATAAATAACCTATGTTTAAAAAAACTAAACATAGATGCTAAAACTTTATTAACACTCACAGATTAGATAAATAAAAACACATTTGAAAGAATCTGAATTACAAAATCAAAATACCTCTATACGTGTAAAAACGGAAACGACAAATGGCGCGTCAACGAAGAACATTCCCAACCCCAACCATTACCTATACCCAGCAATAGTGCTTTGCGCTACGTCCATTTAGTAAAAAAAAACTAACTTGGACAGGACAAAAAAATGGGTGGTTTCAGAAGGCGCTAGAAATTTATGAAGTGCACTTATGGCCTGCTACTTCTTCTGTAAACACTTTCGTTCCCAGAGCAAGACCAACAACACCAACACTATTACGTCGTTTTCCCAAGCTTTGCAGCTCTTTCATTTTTTCCAGTTTGAAAAAATTAAAAGTTGGAAAATTGTGTTGTGAATTTTTTTGAGGATTTCGTGGATTCTAAAAAATTTTTAAGGGTTATCTCAATATTTCTGGTCATATTTCCACTGAATAAAAAGTTCCCAAGTTTATAGCAAAAAAATGAAAAAATCTACATTTTATGCTTGTACGTTAAGTACACGCAGTCAGCTGTTGATAATATTATATTAAATCGATTTTTTACTTTTCACTTTATTCTTCCCTTTATTATTCTAAGACTAGTAAGCTTTCTCTAACAATCAGGATAAAATTCTATTTCACCCTCACCGTTATTTACCTACTAGGATTAGTTATTATAGTTTTTATTTTAACTTTAAATACTTTTATAGCACCTTATATTCTAAGTGATCCAGATAACTTTATCCCAGCAAACCATTTAATCTACCCAGTTCATATTCAGGCTGAATGACATTTTCTGTTTACTTATGGTATTCTTCCATGTTTAAAAAAAGGAAATTGGATTAACTTCGTCGTCGCTTTTCTCTAATGTTAACAGTTGTCGCATGTTAGTGCGGTTCTTGGGCTTATTTTATTTTTTCCGATAAAATTCCTTCAGTTTTGTGTCAGACTGCGAGAATTTTGTTACGTTGTACAAAGAGAAACACCAACAGAGTTTCAAATTTTCTAAAAGCACTGTTATTATATGTCAACCCGTAGCTGTTTTTTTATATACGCTTAATTGGGCTCATCTCATATTAGGATATTAACCCACCCATTTTCCGGCATCCGCGAACCAAAATTTACTGATAACAATTTTTGGACGCACATAACAAGGCTTCCCGAGGAGAATAGAACTCACAACCTCCGGCAGGTTAATAACGCCTTACCAACCGAGCCATCCTCGGTACCCCCACAGCTGTTCTTCTACTTCTTCTTTGCTTTTCACAAATAATTAGACTATGACCATTCGTCCATTACCGACGTCCGTGAGGAATTTTTCTTTTGATTACCAACACTTAAAAGAACTATATTTAACCAATATTTGTTGCAAGAAAGGACTTTGACCAATATCAAAAAGCTCCCCACCCCACTTCCACCACGTCTGGAAACATCTGGCCTTCAACCGACAATGGCAAAAACAGTGTGGCTGGCTTGAAACACTTTGAAACATTCATAAACGCCTAAGATAATCCGCTCAATGTACGGCATCTGCAGGTTTCTTCTTCGGTCTTCATCGGCGTACAAGACAATTTGTGAGTTGGGAATGAAACTAAACGTCATAGAGTTGCCTTAAGCCCAATTCAACTTATCTCTATTCACTAGTAACTTGCATTAATAAAAGGTAGGGTTTTATAACTTCAACTTTAATTTTTAATACAATTTCATGGTTAAATCACAGAGATATTACAGTTCTCAGCTGTGTTCATTTGGAGATCAGTTAGAAACTCCATTCCACTGAAAACCATATATATTGCGGCATTATCAATTTGGCTAACCATTGTGGAAAAAACTGGGAGCTGCTTGGGGAAAGACTTGGACAACAAAAAGTACGCAAAAAATAGAAATATTCTAATATGTATTCTGCGACCGTAGTCAAAAATAGTATTGTTTTGTTCTGTGCTGGATTCTGTGGTGGAGCATCGCACGCGGCGGTTTACCCTTCGCTCGCTCCATCCTTTCGTGCGACTGATTCGGAAGTGTTTGGTGA